ATTTTTCTTGATCGGGATCTGTCACGATTTGTTCTGCCACAAAAAATGTAATGGTTGCAGAAAGCTAGGATTACAGTTATTTGCTCCAAAAGATATCATATTAGATAACACAATCCACTTATCCCACTTTCGCCCATCGGTATGTGTGTGTGTGTGTGTGTGTGTGTCTGATTGAATAAATTACAGACATTATGTATTGATGTTAAAAGATGAGAGAAATGTGGTATAACTGTTGAAATTTATTTTATTTTCATTTTACAAGTACATTTCTCTTATCGTTTAGCATCAATACACGGAAGGTTATTCGTGAATATGAACGGATTTTGATAAAAATTAGCAGATATGTCTGTAATTTATTCAATCAGACATGGCTAAAAGAGAATTTGCTGCCTAAAAACACACATACACACAAACACACAGACACACACATATATATATATATGTGTGTGTGTGTGTCTGTGTGTGATTTATATATATATATTATTTATATATTATATATGCGCGGTAGTTATTGGAAAGCGCTCAGTACATTGATAGAGCTACCATACTTAGTTGTATGGATGTGAGTTTGTAACCCTAGGCGATCCTCAGACAAAGTGAAACCTAGAGTTACAAACTCACATCCATACAACTAAGTATCTATCTATCTATCTATCTATCTATATATATATATATATATGTGTGTGTGTGTGTGTGTGTGTGAGAGAGAGAGAGAGAGAGAGAGAGAGAGCATCACTGTTCCCAACGCAGAAAGAAAAATCTCGAGGTGACATTAAAGAAATTAATTAAGCAAGTTATTCAAATGACACAGACATCATGCTCGAATGGTTGCACTCTGACAATCTAGAAATCAGCCTCAACACGATTTCCTTTTGACAATTTACTGCGCATGAAAAAACATCATTAAGCATGAACGACAGTTTTTAGATACCAAATCAAATTAATGATAATAAAAATATCATTGTTGTCAACTTGCTTTGGTTGGCGTCATTCATTCTGATCATCACCCTGTAGCGTTATTCACTAAGTTCCTCGACATGATGGTCTCACACACGCTTGACTGTTGGGTTCCGTGTGCGCATGCGCGTGTCCTTGTGCCTTTAGTTGCAACAATGGAAGTTGTCAACGCCATGACTAATTTTGAAAACAGTATTAAATTTTTCGATGGATATATTTTCTCCAGGCAATTTGACCTTTTTCTGTATCAGGGATCAAAGGTGAGGTTCGTCTCACAGGATTTTAGGGTTTGATGATTGAAATTTAGGCATTTTCAGTGTATTTTCTCCTGTTCACAGTGGCGATGATCATGTGATCGCGCATTTTGAGGGTGAGTATTATATGTGTGTGTGCTACGGTTTTTGTATCAGCCTGCTAACAGACATAACTCGATAAATTTTCTTTTTTTTTTTTTCTTGTTGCATTTGAGTTACTGCTTCTATATCAAAAGTTTAAAGATATTTAATGAAAATTTATATGAACCCATGATGGAATCAACCAGTTGATTAAAGGATTCTTCTTCGTTTATGTGTCGAGTCCTTTCAGAATGGCTACGATAATGACTCTCCACAATGTCCTATCCTTTGTAGGACCAAACAATGTTTGTATCCTAAATATTCCACGGAGTCTCTGTTCTGCCATACATTTTTCACAAACTCGTTTGGTAGGTTACTCACTATTTCCGACTTTCTGTCTTGCCTTCAATATGTCCTGTAAGTATCAAATTCTCAAAGCCCCCTTTCCTCATTCTGCGCCACATAAATTTCTATGTGATTTTAAATATAAGGGTTTTTTTTGTGTTTTTGTTTGCTTTCCTTAAAACTTCCTCTTTGTTCACATGCTTCGTCCATGGTATTCTCAGAAACCTTCTGTGGAATCACATTTATGTTGCCTCATGTCTCTTCCTCATCAACGCGGAAATTGTTCAACATTCGCTGTCATATAGGAAGATTCATTTTACATAGCAGTTCAGCACTCTTCTTTTTCCTGTTTCTTAATACGTTACTTAGCTTTTGGAAGGCGTCTTCCGTTATTCCAATGCGCATTCGAATTGACGCATTTTCCGTTACCTGTTCAAAGACTTCACAGTTATTTAAATTTCTGATTAAAGGATTAATAGACCGACAAGAATTCATTGTTAGCGGATACAACCATAGCAACGTACACTGGGTTGACTATATATTCAAAAGAAAAATAGGAAGTCCTGCTAGACAAGGTAATCGAGGAAAGCAAGAAGAAAGGACTATTACCTGTAAGAAGACAAAATAGGTGGTTGTCAACAAAAGAAGCAGATGCCAAAATTAAGCAGGTGCGGAAATTAAACTATAAATACATACATACATATATATATATATATATATATATATATATATAATCATGCAGACTAAGAAAAACAATAAAGTCATTAAATAGAGCGATAGAAGAAACTGTCAGCATAGAAATTGCGGTTAAATCTAGCCATTTCACCTGTAAAGTGATGAGATCTTACCGTCAATTTAGTATTGCGCTTAAATTCTAAGTATCATAGCCGAAAGTTCATCAGAAAAATTTCTATAAAAGTATTTATAGAAAAGTTACGTTACGGCGGTGAGAAAAGCACTGAAGCAGAGATGCCCGATCAGGACTAATAACATTGCAGATTCTTCTTTGGATTTTATCAAGAATCTCTAAATATATAGCAGGAATACCAGACCAGATGTGGAAGCAATATTCAACGCAAATAAAAAACGCTCGCGCGCGCGCACACACACACACACACACACACACACACACACACACACACACACACACACACACGAACATGGATAAAATTAGACTTATGAGAGTCCAACAATTTAGCTAAAACTGAACAGCCAGAAACTCGCACATATGATTTGATTATAGCGGTAATGGATTGTGCAGAACCATTCACATTTTTCGGAAGAAATGAATATGAAGATATCCCCAGACTACACCCCTCAGGTTTTAAATTCAGAATTGTCCTCCTTTTTGACTGGTTAACAACAAAGGCTAAAGAGCCCAATCTGTCCTACTGTTTAATGCATAGTTGGAATTAGAACCGATTTCTCATTTCGAGCCTCTATTAACACCACCTGCAAACGCACATACACACATACTCTCTCACTCTCTCTCTCTCTCTATATATATATATATATATATATATATAATTATTTATTTAAAAAAATATAACATAAATATGTCATAAAATCACTACAGAAATAGCCATTTTGTTATAATTGTTTTAAATAAATAATTATATCTGCTCTACTCTGTATTGAGCACTCTTTTAACAGTAGTAATTGTTGGTTATTGGAATTCATTCCGTATACACCAATTATATACTTAGATATATATATATATATATATATATATATATATATATATATATGGAGTCTTGCCACGAATCATGCTGTCCCCTTCTTTGAAAATACCTGCAGGACCGCTCTCAGGAACAAAATGCAGAGGAGGAAGTGCTGCCATTGAGCCCAGGCCAGACTTTCAGCTGCGACTATTGCGACCGTGTATTCCTTCATTGAATTCATCAGCCACAAACGTAGCTGTAAGCAATGTGTACAGACTCCCTCTTTATCTTCGACAAATATATATATATATATATATATATATATATATATATATTATTAAGCTTTTGATAATATATTTCAATTGAGCACTCTTGAGAGACAGCCTAATTCTACAAACAGCAGCCAAAACGCAAAGTTCTTCTGTAAAATGAATAGTAGCACTCTGACTGACTGGCGTTTGTTTACATTCGTAAAAACAATACGCTAGAATTAGCAGTTTCTCTCTGCCGTGTTGTGATGGTCTAGGGGTAGAAACTTCGACCGACATCAAATCGAACGGGCTTCGATCCTGGCTTGAGGCTTTCGGACGTCTAGTTGTACTGAAGAGCTGTGATATACCGAAACAGTGGTGTCTTCGAATAACACACACACACACACACACACACACACACACACACACACACACACACATATATATATATATATATATATATATATATATATTGATCGATCTCACCCCAGTCAAAGGACACAAGGCGTTACTGGGTGTGGAAGAACTAGAAAACAGAAACTTTACTAAGGAGCATGGACAAAAGAAGACTAATCAGGAGGGGAGTAGAATGCGACTGACATTGTATTTAAATTTTTGAAGATTAAAGTTGGCTTGAAATCATAGAGCCGGAAGAGCGACAAATGCCAGGAAAGAAACCGTTAGCATATTTTTTTGTGGAAAATTTAGTCCACTCCTCATTTATTCCTTACAACAAATTTACTTCATTCTTGTGGCCAAATTTATTCATTATTCATAGATTTCGTGACACTGATAACATTCGTTCATTCTTTAAATACAGTTGGTGTCAAATAGCATTCAACACTTATTCGTTCTATCAAATTTAGCTCATTTCTTCAATTAGTTGCGGGGATTTTTTTTTTCAAATGTATATTGTCATAACAACTTTAGATCATATTTCACTCATTCCTTCTCGCAAATTTAATTCCTCAGTGCAGATTTAAAAGTCCCTTATTCTTGTGGCAAATTCCATTTATTCCTAAGACATTTATGACAGACTTTACTGATACAGTATTTCTTGTAGAATATTTATTCCAATATTCAGACATTCTTTGAGGAAAATTTCGCTCAGTCCTTAACTTTTCATTTTCGGAAATTATATTCGTGTTTCTCATATTCCTTCTAGCAAATTTGGTTAATTCTTTATTCATAACTTTTAACTTTCATTCATTCTTCACTTTTTCTTTGTGATAATTTTAGTTCTTTACTTTATTATTTTCTTTTCTTTTTTTTTTTTTGACAAAATTCATTCTTCACATATTCCTTGAAATAAATTTAAATTATTCCTCAATTTAGCAAGTGATACCACTTTTTTGCCGTTTTTTTTTTCCCGTATTCCTTTTGGCCACTTTACTTCATTCTTCCCGTATTGCTGTGGTCATTTAACTTCGTTCTTTCCGTATTCCCTCTAGCTTCGTACTTCATTTTTCCCGTATTACTTATGGCCACTTTACTTCGTTCTTTCCGTATTCCATATGACCACTTCGTTCTTTCCGTATTTCTTATGGCCACTCTACTTCGTTCTTTCCGTATTCCTTAAGGCCATTTACTTCATTCTTCCCGTATTCCTGATGGCCACTTTACTTCATTCTTCCCGTATTCCTGATGGCCACTTTACTTCATTCTTCCCGTATTCCTGATGGCCACTTTACTTCATTCTTACTGTATTCCTTATGGCCACTTTATTCTTCCCGTTTTCCTTATGGCCACTTTACTTCATTCTTCCCGTATTCCTGATGGCCACTTTGCTTCATTCTTACTGTATTCCTTATGACCACTTTATTCTTCCCGTATTCCTAATTCATAAACTCACATCACTGTGCTTCATAAATATCTCGATTAACCGCATGTCTGCTGTTGAATTATAGTTAGCAGATGAATTTCATTAACTATTTCTAGTGTTATAGAGGAATAACGTGTCGCTGCCGTCACTTGAGTTTGAACATAGATCGCGTGTGAGTAAACACATGCGATCCCATTATTGAATTAAGTAGACCACCTGTTCATAGAGGAAACGCATCTATGGAAGGTAAGCGTGTGTCTAATTGATTGCATTTCTATTCTATCCTCTATACTATTCTATCCTCTATACTATTCTATCCTCTATACTATACGTTCCGCTATTCTCCACTCTATTTAACCTACTATCTCTACTATTCGGATCACTACACTGATTACTATTCGAGCGAGTATTATCGAGCAAGTACTATTAGTGCGAGTGATATTGGAAGGCGTCTGATACCAGTATTGTTCAACGGCGTTACTATAGTTGTATCGGCGATTACAAAGTCTCTACTACACGGAGAATTACGAAATTGACGAGTGTTCGTTGATATCCCAAAACCTAGTAAATTTGATCTTCACTAATCACGTCAAAATTGTAAGTTTGTGCCAAGTTGAGTTTAGTAAATTTCTACACATATACATTAACTGAAAGGAATGTGGGTGTCTTCAATAGTATTGCGAGAAAATCACACGCCAATTTTAAGTGAGTTGTCTTGAAATGGCATCTACGTGAAACTGATATGTATGAAATATTACTTTGTGGAAGAGAAATCGGTAAGGTAAAATTCAAGAATTCATCGACCTAATTTTGTATGTTTCTTTTTAGTTTGCTTTTAGCCATAACTTCTATTTAGACGACAGAAAGCAACGTTCGTTAGCGATGTAATGAGTTGTTTAATTTTTTTTATTTCCCCTGTAAAGAGTTCCACATTGATTTGCTCTTTTACGACGCTGTTGTTTATTGTATCGTTCAAAGACGAAAATTGTTAGATTGCGGGGAATTTTAATCAAAGCCTAAAAGAAAGTTTCTAAAGGAATATATAACAGTTTACTTGACGGACATTTTTATACGATGTATAAAATATCTTTTGATTGAAATCAAGCATCCTCCTTAGCAGAAATTGTCTAAACGTACTGAAAGCCTAACTAACCGTTTCTTTCAATTGAAATGTCTGGGAAGACGACGGAAAGTGCGACCCTGAAATCTATAATCCGAAGGCACATTAGGATATTGAAAGATGCCCCCACAAATCTTAGCAAATATCAACAAATAGAAAAATTTTGTCAGAAACAAAGAAAAAAGTACTGAACTGTTATGTAATATAAGTCCTTCTTATTGGTAATGAATGCTAAACAATCTCCTCATAGATGAAGAAGAAACTTGAAGCAATAGAAATGTGATTCTTCCATGAACTGAACATGTGAGCAACGACGAAGTCTTAGAGAAAAGAAAAACAAAAAGACACATACCTAACACTATGAAGAGACAGTCGAAATTTCTAGGGCACATAACGGGGAAAGAGGGTTTGGAAAATTTGATACTCACAGGACAGCTTGGAGAAAGGGAGACAAAGGAAAACAACGCATAACATACTTAGCGAGCTTGAGTAAAAGGATGGTCATAACAGGGTTTAAGAGAGATAACAAAAAAAAGATTTATAAAAGACAGGAAATTGTGGAGAGTCATGATCGCCGACGTCTTGAAAGGACATGGAGCATAGAAGATGTTAGTGCAATATGTATTAGATGTGCGTGTAGTATAGCAGTTATCGGCAAGAAGAGATGAATGTGCGCCCCGAGTTCAAATTCCAGTCTCGTCTATTGTATTTCTTTGCTATTAATCTCATTGGAAAAAGCATGAACCCATTTTTTCCTTTCCCCATCTATGGGTTAAATGGCGAGTTTTGAAAAAGATTACTCTGAACGAACCACTGTGGAGAAGGCAACGCCAAATCGTTTAACTATCTTTCCTAAAAGTCATGGCAATTTATACATAATAGAGAAAAGAAACCGTGAAGAGCTACGATCACTTATTTCTGATTTAAAAAATGTAACATGAATTGACAGAAGTCATGTGTTTTACGTAGGTTCTATATTTAAGGGGCTCGGTATTGATAATCAACGCCATATGGGGACGGGAGCTGCCCAGTCTTCACTTTCCACTCTCGGTAAAGTCCAAAAGCATCGCCATGTCCTTGTAGGTGACAAATTGTTTTCCACCCTACAACCACTTTCCCCACAGTTGAAATATTGTAAACCTCACGCTGCTCTATCGCTATTTCCATGGAAAATGTTCAGATGAACTACATCTCTTAGTTCCACCAGTCCTAACCTTTACGGTTAAAACTAGACATGCTACGCACATTGTAGCGAACGACCCTCATTCCTTTCGTATTCCCATGGTGAGATGTAAGTTCCACTCGAGTAATTTCTTACCATGAACCACTGCCTTGTGGAACTGACTCTCAAAAGGTTGCTTCTCCGATTACTACAATCTTAACCTGTTCAAGTCTAGGTTTAACCGTTATCTTCCACAAACATCAGCATAAGCGGTACCTCTTACTCTTTAATTCTCTACCTCGAGTGGCCCTCAAGCCATATACTGGATGAACACCAATTTAAACAAAACATTAACAGACGCATCTCAACTGATTGTTCTGTTTTGGTATTTCGTGCATAAAATCGAGTCTGGCCACCGACAAGTGCGGTGACAATATCGCAGTGATACAGTTTTACATTCCTCTTCTATGTGCTGTGTTCGTTCGGGACGTAGGCGATCATGGATCTCCACAACGTCCTGTCCTTTGCAGCTCTTAATAAATTGTCTTTTTTTATCTCTCCTATAGCAACCAGAAAAAGATTTGTGCTATGCGAATAGCACTTCATTACACCTGCTTCCCGTTACTCTTCCTCTCCCAAAACATAGACTTTCATTGATTTCTCTAAAATTGTAACCTTTGCAAACAGACCACCGATTATCCACAAGTGATACTATCTTTGAATCCGGACAAAACACACTGCACTCCTGCAGGCTTACCGGAAGAACAGAACATTCTTATTTAGCCCATCCTTGAACTGAAGTTCGTATACAGCGTATATATTATCACAACCTAGATCTCTTATCCAATCCCAAAACGAAATAATTACAACAATTTCTGATCGTCCTATTTTCTTTTCTTTTTTGTTAGAGTAATGTTCACTTTGTACAAGGCCCTCGAGCAACTCGAGGTAGTGGTTTACAGAATAAGCGGCACAGTTATTGGGGATATGTAGAGAAGATAACGATTGACTCGAGACTTGAACAGGTTAAGATTATAGTGATCAGGGAAGCATCCTCTTGGGTCTCGTTTCCAAAAAGCAGCGGTTCGTGGGAAAAAGCTGTGAGAGTGGAACTTAAATCTCAACAATAGAAGACGAAAACAAGATTGGTTCGCTAGAATGTATGCGGCAAGGCGGGTCTAAGCCGTGAAATTTAGGACTGGCGGAACTAAAGGTATTTTGTCTGAACAGTTTTCATTGAAATAGCGTTAGCGCAGCGAGAGGCTTGCGATGTTTCGTCTGTGAGAAAGGGGTTGTTAGGTAGAAAATAATTAATCACCCACAAGGATGCGGAGACGCTTTTGGACTCGTCAATATATAACAGCAGTACTCCATTTTCGGCCTGATCTGGCTTATGTTAGGGTAGAAGATATCAGGAGGAGCCAGGTACTTACTGGAGCGGTTCAGAGAATCTAGGCGACGTTCTACGTACGGGAACAAATCGACATCCCGATGCAAGCTGTCGTCAAGGACCTGCTGATAAAGCCCAGGTTTGCCGCAGCGGATGGTATCAACTGAAGTGTGTGTGCAATGGAGTATTGACCCATGGACTACCTCAAACAATTCGCAGCCAAGATGCTTAGATGCTCTAAGACTTTATTTTTTCTCATAGAAAGAAATGTCGATGAGCGCCCCAATTCTCGAAAATGACTTCCGTCAACGACGACGACGACAACGACAGGGAATCGACGATTTTGTTTTCACTATCTTTAGCGATGGATCGTATGTATGAGTTCCACTTGAGGTCTGGGTTAAGTTTAAGTCCCAAAAAGCGCTCAAGGCACGGAACCTCCCTGAGAGAATACACGTTTATCGCAATAGGTGAAAATTCAGGGTCCGCTCGATGCTTATTGAACGTTACTAGTTTGGTTTTCGAGCCATTGAATGTGACCAGCTAGTTTTTTCCCCCATTGAGTTGTTATGCTTTAAATATTGGCAGTAAGTCAGAAGCGTATTATGTAAATTATATTAATCGACGGCTCTTGTTCCGTTAAAGTGGATAATCCGACAGCAGACAGGAACCAAACTTTCTGGAAAATCGGTAGTGTAACTGAACTCTATCGCACGACCAACGCCAGTGAAAATAGCTATAGTTAGTTATACGTGGTTAGTATACCAGTTACCACCTTTATTTGCTATACTCGAATCTAAAATTTTAATCTCGTTGGAAAGGGGAACTGAATAATTTTTATTCAAAGATCATTTTTTTTCATTTTGCTTGGTCATCGATGCACTCTATAGCTGAAAGGTCAAAGGACGTCAGATCTAATGACGACTTCCCCTAGGGGAACACAGCTTCGAATCCTGCCGGAGAGCGCCTATTTTTCTCTAATAAGATTTCTCAACTATTCAGGCCGGCAGAGGAAAATAAATAAAAATACAGTTTAATAAATAAACGGGGCGTCTATTCAAAGATGAGTATCCATTATAAATTATGGTTAAGTAATAAAAATCTGTCGGATTAATAAATAAAAAACCTACCATTTCTTTGCATATATATATATATATATATATATATATATATATATATGCCGAG